CCAGCCAGCCCTTTCTGCAGTAACTTGCAGCTCTTCGTCGGGATCCTTCCAGCACACCCCGAATTTGCTGGACGCAGGTGACCCCGCAAACGCTGCCCGCGGCGGCAGTAACACCGCAGCCGGTCGCTGCACACCCGTTGCTGCCTTCCCATTTTCCCCTGCCCAGGGGCACAGCTGGCTCCCTTTCCCCCGGCTCTTTATCCCCCGGCTCCTTTTCCCCGTCCCGCTCTCTGGCTCCAGTGCCCTCCTTCCACAGACCTGCCCCATGCTCCAGTGCCTGGACGTGTGGCAACGCCTCCGTGGATGGAAGCTTTAACGAGAACAGCACTAACGATGTGATAAAAAGATGCTCCCAGCACTTGCTACAGCGGCTTTGCCAAGCAGGGATTTGCTATGTGTCTTACTTTGCTCTAGTTTCATCTCGTTTGAAGAAATCCATGGCCTTCTCTGAGCATGGGAGAGGTTTTAGGACTTTCTCTCCAGGGTTTTCCTCCCTTTGTCCAAGATCTGCCCATTTCTGGCCAAAGCCTTTGCTATGCTTGGTCTTGGATGGGCCAAGGAGCTTAGGGGAGTCTCAGGGCTCCCCACTGCCAAGTTGTGTGAGCTGGGGCTGGGAAGGAGAAGGCTTTTTGGGGAGCTTGGCGTGGAGACGGAGCTGCTGGCTGTGACTCGAGGAGTGCTCAGCCTGCGGACATGGAAGGGCTGCAGAGCCCTGGGTGACAGGTGACAACTGTCTCCTCTCACAGGGATCTGCAAGAAGCCTCCGACCTGGGGCATCCCCAGACTCCTTTGAAAGGCATCGTTGGGCTTGGGTGTGGGGGCACAGAGCGTGGCAGCAGATCCTCATCCCTCACACCTCCTGCCCAGCCTCCTGCCAGGGCAGACATGGCTCTTCCTTCACCGAGGGGCTTCAGGATGTCACCCAGCATCCTCGCACCGTCCCAGCCCTGGGAACAGGGCATGTCTGGGTGCGAAGGGGCGGAGGAGGTGGCATCACCTTCTCACCGCAGCCTGGGACAGGGGGTGCTGGCATCGGGGCAGCTCTGGGAGCCCCGTCCCTTGTCCATGGGGTTCGCAGCAGCACGGGGCTGTGTGGACGGGCTCTGGGCGCCTGGCGTGTGCCTTTCTGTCGCCTGTTTAGGTCCACGCAGGGGAGCCAAGAAATCTCTTGACTAAATAAACAGCTCTCTCGTCCCAGATGGCATCTGTTTATACGCCAGGTACAAACAGTCCCCACGGCTGCCCTGCTCACAGCCAGGCCAGTTCTTTCCACAAAAAAGCAGTCCCCGAGGGCCAGCAGTGCCGCGCGCTGGGAAGGCAGAGCCGCGCTCTGCCCGGGCACGGACACCAGCGAGCCCCTGGGATGGGGAAGGCACCATGGCTGGGGTGTTGTCTGGAGGAGGAGGCCAGCTCTGGCTGCAGACCAGGGTGTCTGGGCACCAATTTGGGGGTTCAAGGCGCTGGGTGAAGCCACGGTGCTGTCCTAGCCCTGGGAGGGTCCAGGGAGCTCATAAAGGCTTCGCAGCTGCATCTCCCTGAGGCATCTTTCTTCCTCCTTTCCCCAAAGTCCTAAAATCCCCCCCAGCAAAGACGACGTTCACTCTGCAGCCGGGCTCCCAGCTCGCTGTGTCGCAGCACGTCACCCTCTGCTCGTCCCCAGACAGAAACCCCACGGCACCGGCTGGCACGCAGCGCCGAGCCGTGCTGCCAAAGCCAGGCACCCAGGCAATGCCGGCCCAGCTGCGAGGGGCAGGAGCTGCACGGTCCCGGCTGCGGAGCGGGGAGAAGGAGTTTTACACTGCCAAACCCAGACCCGGACTTTACGATACGATCCTCCTCTGTACAGCAACCTTGGTCCCAATGCCAGGGGTTCCTCTGGCTTCAGTCATCCGTTCATAGCATTGGCTCGTCTTGGGAGTGGAGGTGTCTCATGTCTGATGTTTGAGGAGATGAATCCTGCCCTGGTGCCCTGTTCTTACTGTACTGCTGTGACAAAGTCTTGGTCCTGTGCCTGCATCTCTCCAGGCACACGGGGAAGTGAATCCAGTGCCGTAAGAAAACCGACAGGCTGGAAGGCAGCGAGCCGCCACCAAAGGCTTTGACTGCAGAAGCAGCACATGTCGAAACCACGCTGATGGGAGACTCTTCGCAGCCCCATCGGCCGTGGGTGGAGGCTGCACCGCAGCATTGGTGGTGTCCTGGAGCTGCTGGTGCTGGTTGTGGTCAGCAGCAACGCACAGGGCAGGCTGTGCCAAGGGTGAGGTTCAGGTCATTGACGAAAAGACCAAAAATCGTGTGAGAAGGGGGTTTGGCTGAGAAGAGACGAATGATCAAATGGCCCTAAAGCGTGAAAGGAAAGAGAAGAATCCTTGGCTGCAGGTGGTGTGTAAGAAAAGAGCCATCAAGCCTCGGGCTGGCATCCCTCTGCGTGTGGGGAAGAGGTAGCTGCTGCCTTGCAGGTCAGCACTGGAAAGCTGAAAGCCAGACTGAGCTCCCCCCGCATAGCAAAGTCCCAAGAATGCAACAGTGGCATCACGAGAAGCATAAAAGCAAAGGCAAAAATTGCTTTTGAAGAGTGACCCTACAAGGAGGCGGGCAGAACGACAGCCCTGACGCCGGCCAGCCCGCTAAGGACTGAGCGTGTTGTGCCGAGAGCGGGATCGTTCACCCGGTGTGCAGTACGCCAGTACTCACAGAGCAGAGGTGCTGGCAGATATGGGTGCTGGGTGGTAATTCCGCAAAGCCAGCACCCACATCTGCGCAAGGCTGGGCACCTTGGCTGGCCTGGGGACAGAAGCAGAAACTCGGGAGGTGCAGGGCACTGCTGCGAGGGTTCTCAGCACGGAGAGCCGGGGGGGATCCCGGGGACGGGGGCTGCCAGCCGCAGCAGGACCGGCATCCTTCCCCACGACCACCCTAGCTCAGCTCTTCCCTCCCGCGGTGCCGCTGGACACCGGGAGAAGGTGCGCTGGGAAAAACATCGGGCATTACAAAGCCATAAACGCCCTGGCCTCGTTTCCTTGGTTTTCTGCAGGGAGCTCGGAAATAAAAAATTCCATTAAAAGGAGGCCCGTTTCGGAGCTGCAGAGCATCCAGCTGGGAACCAGGCAGGAAAGCTGGGAAAGCTCCTGGGGTAAAGACAGGGGATAGATCCATCCCCGGTTACAAGGGTGATTAAAAAGAGGGTAACGAAAGGAGATTAAAAGGGGTAATGATAGGGGGTATGATAGGAGGGGGTCGAACGGCGCAGTCTGCTCTGGGAGATGCGTCCCGGCGCTGTCGGGGTGTTGTCTGTTCCCTGGGGATGAAGGAGGGCGTCCCCAGGTCTCTGGAGGCCGAAGGAGAGGCAGAGGTGCCTTGGAGAGCTGCAGCGGGACCTCGGCACGCCTGGGTCCTGCAGGCTCTGCCAGCATTGAGGGCACACGGACGCTGAGCCCTCCCCTGGACCCAGGGCCTCGGCCGGGTTAAACTCCCCCCTGCCACAGCCCAGCCGGGGGCTGCAGCCGGCGACCACGTACCCCGCCGAAGAGCCCCGGCCGCGGGTCTGTCCCCTGCTGTGGCACAGCCCGGCGCTCCTGGGCACCCTGCGCCATGCTCTCCCCAGGTTTCTATCGCAGACGCCTGGTTCAGGGCAGCTCATCCCTCAGAGGTGTCCCCACAGCCCT